TCTGGTTTAACCCCCAACAGTAAGTGTCAGGCCCTCCTCAGTGTCTCAGATAAGTGGCTGTTCTGCTTAAAACACCGTCAACAATTCACCATGCCATTTAGCACCCGAAGTTCCGGAGCCGTCCAGCACGTCTGTACGTGAAGTCTAGCCTCTCAGGCAGCATAGATTCAGGACCACTTAACCTAGGCTCTGAACTGAGAGTGACAGCATAAAGAGATTCTGATGAAAACCCCAACCGATTTTTAAATAGAGTAACCTCTTTTCCAGTTAAAAAGTAATATGCCCGCGTATTGATAATTAAGAAGAAACTGCAAATCTCCCAAAGACATCAGCTGTTGAGCAATAATTGCTGCTAACACTGCATTGTCTTTCCCTCCAAATGATTTCCTGTGTGTGTGTGTGTGTGTGTGTGTGTGTGTGTGTGTCCCCAGCTCTCATTCTGGATTTGAGGGGGTTACTCAAGTTAGATTTAGGCAACTTTCCCACCACCCTCTTCCCCAGAAGACAAAGGGCCACTGTCATTGTTTCTCATAGATTCTATGATGTAAACTAATTTTTCTACATGAAGTAGCTCAAAGGGCGATAGGATGGCTCTGATCTCTAATGTCAGTGGTCTGGCGGGAGCGACAGCGTACACATCTCCCAGGTTCTGAGGCCTGGACCACAGGGCGCGTGAAGGCGCGGTCGTTGCATCACGGAAAGGGGGCGGTTGGCTTCCTTACTGTCTTGCCCAAGGAAGGGGGGACCTTTCTGCATTTGAGCTCTTCTTCTGCCGTGTACTTTGCACGTGCATTTTTCTCGTCACGTTTACAAGTCTGTGCCAGGGTCTTATTCTACTGTGGGTGGATGTATCTTCCACAGAACTGTGTCTGCTCACCTGTTGAGGAAAAGGAGATGGAGATCGGAGAGAGAGGTGGTGTTACAGCCAAGTTCTCTTTCTAATTGAGTGGCCAGAAAATACAGTCCCTGTGGTGGGAGAAATGGCCCAGAGGAGCTAGGCTGGAGGCAGGGAGCGGACACAGCTACAGAAAAGTGGTGAAATCAGCTGAGCCGGACCGGGGCGCAGAGGTCATGTGGCTGAGGGCGCTTTACTGAGAACTGAGGGCTCCCAAATGGTGGCATCAAGGCTGGTGAACCTTGAGAACTAGTGGGCCGTGCCCTCAAAATAGCAGGTCCCGCCGCATAAGGCACGCAGGGCGGACCTGCCCGGCACGTGGACCGGGGCAGGAGCTGCCTCCACGGGGTCGATGCTGCCAGCCCGTGACGCTGAAACAGGGGGCCCGGCCTCCAGTCTCTTCTCTGTCCCCAAGAAGCCACCGGAAAGGTGTCTTTGCTCGTCCTAACCAGACCTGGAACCTCACTCTTGAACTTCTGGAGCTGTTCCTGGCACCCTGTGGGGTTGTGTGATGCTCGTGTCACACGTGTACACACCTCGCTTCCACCGTGTGAGGGTCAGCTCAGCTCCCGGCCGGCCGGAGAGCAGCTGACCCACGGCCCGAGCCGTCCTGGGAGAAGGTGTGTGCACCTGCGGGGCAGCGTTTGTGGGACACACGCAGGGTGTGGCATCCTCAGAATCCAAGAGCAGGTGGTGTTGGCAAACTGAAAACTTTGTCTGCCTCTCGAGGTTGGCTTTTTCACCCAGCGCACACACCCCAAGCCTGGAGCTCCCGTGCCCCCGGTGTCAGTCGCAACCCTGCTCACATTCTTGCCCTGCTCACCGAGGAGCTCCCTGCGTGGGGCTCTATGTTAAGGCATCTTTATTTCTGAGAGGGGAGCAAAGAGTAAGTCAGTAGATCAGCCAGGCAGAAGCACCTCAGGCAGCCCAAATGTTTGTCTTCTGACCTTGCTTCTTCAAGATAAGGATGCCCCGATGCACTGAAGGGAGTAGGAACCCCTGCTAAATTCCCTCCAACCACAGTTTGACCGCCTTGCTCTGTCTGGTCAAGATCTGAAACACTGACATTTGCATAAAGTTAAGGTCAGAGGGGTGCGAGGGAGGCCCCTGGGGTGAGGAGGTGGGTGCTGTGTCCCTGAACCCACTCTGTATGGGCTCCCACGGTGCCCAAGCCTTTGGCCTCAGCCCTAAACCAGCAGCCAGCTGAGCCTTGTACAGAAGCAGTGTGGACCCTCCAGAAGAATGTTATTCATTAGGACTTTCTCTAACGGACAGGGATAATGGTGAAGGGCCGTGGCTGGTGATCAAGTGTCCGGGTGATTGTTGGGTTTCTTGCATCCATGTTCCCACCGCTTCTCACAGCTCCTGCCCTGGTCCTCGCCCTGCATCGGAAGCTCCCTGCCTCTCTCTGGTCTCCTACAGCAGTTCTCAGTTCAGCCGCCAGAATGATCATTTAAAATGTAAAACAAATCATGTTAGACCTTCTGCTCCAAACCCTCCGGGGGCTCCCATGTCCTTCAGACTAAAAGCCAAGCTCTGGGCTGGTCCTCAAGACCCCTGTTACTCTTTATCCTCACTCTGCCCCTTCCCTTCATCCCTGACCCGTATCCCCACCCAGTCTCTACTCAGGTCACCTTCTCACTGAGACAGCCATGTGCCTGGACAACAGCTTAGCTAAGGTTCCTCAGCACATGGGATCAGATCATATCTAAAGTTCCTGACTGAAAAGCTCTGGTCTTTAGGACAAACTTCAGGTCGCTATGAAGTGAGTTGAGTAGGTCCTGACCAGCATTTTCTGAAAATGAAATAGAGTAGGAAAATGTCAGAGCGAGAGGACAGTTGTTTTGTGCAACCTTTGTCTCAGTTGTGTGTGTGTGTGTGTGCGCGCACGCGCACGTGTCCTGGGTCACGGTGAGGAATGTGTTTCCTGCCATGGGTCTCAGCCCACAGAAGTTTGAGAAACACAGCTCTAGGGTGCCTCCATCAGTTGAATATCCAGAAACCTCCCACAGTGAGCTCCGGGTGTTCTGTCTGGTTACGGGCAGACAGGCACTCATTATTTCCTGCGCTTGACCGTTTCTGTTGTAGTCCTTCAAGAAGTGCCAGCCAGAGGTTACGTATCTTTCCTGTGTCCTGGGGCTGGCACCCTCCCCTCGCTGTGTGGCTGCCCCCTAGTGGCAGCTCGCCGGCTAGACTTCAGTGTTAAGGGGCCTCCTGCGTACCTTACATGTGAGGGACCTTGTTGGGGCGGGGGCGGGGGGAGGGGAGAGGGCGTGGTCTTCAAAGATCCAGGCAACGACTTCTAAACCTTGCCTAGTCAGGACTGGGGGAACAGAGACAACATTCAGGAGACTTTCTGCTTTGCCCAAGTGGTTCTGACTCCAGACATTCCCTTTTTTAAAGCCATCCATCCATTTGACTGTGGCGGTGACTTTTGTGTCTGCCAGTGCGGAGGGGACCCAGGGCCTTCTGGGCCCCTTCCTGCCTTTGTAGAGATTATGTGTGCAGCAAGACCAGTCCCTGATTGTCCAGATTCCATCTCAGGCAAGGAACACCTGAAGTGGCGTTGTCTGAAGCTGGCTATTCTTAGGCAGCCTTTGGGATCCCACGACCAGCTGTGTCTCCATTACCTCATTTGTTCTTATCTTCAAGCTCTGATCCTTAATAAAGGTCTGATTTTAATATTTATAAATGAAGATGTAGAATACAAGATAGGCTTTTTTCTTTGATGTTTTAATTAAAGAGTAAAAACATGATTTTTTTTTAACATTTTTGTATTTAGCAAAATTGCTTATAGATGAAGAGAGGATAAAGGGTTTATATTGTCATCAGAACCAGGGCACATTAAATCTGGAAATGTTGGGATGGCCGGGAGGGAATACGGTTGCCACTTTGAGTTTCTGAAAGACTCACTTGGAAGATTCACACGTGACTGCGGAGGGCAGAGTTAGGACGCACAAGGAGAAGGAGGCAGAGACCAGCCTGAGACAAGGAACAGCTTCCTGACAGCTAAAGGGACTGAGTGGCGGAAGGAGCTGCCGCAGAGGTAGTAGGCTCCCTGTCCCTGCCAGGGCTCCGACGGGGGGGGTCCCTGCCCAGCCCTGGGACAGGCTGTTAGATGATGCCAGGTGCCTCCAGCTGTGAACACGTACAAGCTGGGATTTTGGTCTATGAGGAAGGAAGACGTAAAAAGCATTTCATTATTTCTGGAGCAGGTTAGGGGGATGAATAGGCAGGGCGCTGAGGGCTTTTAGGGCAGTGAAACTACTCTGTATGATCCTGTAGTGGTGGATACATGTCACTGTACCTTTGTCCAAACCCACACAGCGTGCGACACCAGGAGTGAGCTCGGATGTGAACTGTGGTCTTTGGGTGACTGGGATGTGTCAGTGCAGGTTCATCTATCGTGACAGATGTGCCCCTCTGGGGGGCGACGTTGATAATGGGGGTGGCTGCGCATGTGTCGGGGCACAGAGTGTAGGGACTCTGGACCCTCCCCTCAAGTTTGCTGTGAACCTAAAACTGCTCTAAAAAATACTCTGAAAAAAGAAGAGAGGAGTAACAGTAACATAAACTTTGCATTTAATCTAAATATGTAGTTACATATATACTGTATATATTATTTATGAAGAAGCACAGTGGGCTGGAACAGTGTCATTTGGTGGGGGACCTGCTGTGTTAGGGGCAGAAATCTTATGATCAGTTGAGCCTTTTGGTGGAGTCCTGCATCTCTCTGGATGACGCATTTGTGCTCTGAGAAGATGGATTGGTATTTAACCTCTTGTTCTGTCTAATAGGGTCATCGGTTTCCTGGAAGCTATCGTTTGCATAAAATTTGGACAAGATCTCTTCTCTAAGACCCAAATACTCTATGTTGTGCTGTGGCTTCTTTGTGTGGTAAGTCATTACTTTCTTACCCAAAAGTGTTAGCTAAACTCCTCATGGTGTCCTAAAACAGAATGAAACGAAACCCTCTTGTTCACTAAGATTCCTTAGAAATTCATAGACAGGACTTTCGACTTGTAATAACCCAAGATTGGCCCCTCGGCTGAACTTCAAGAATAAATACAGGACCATATGGCACCCAAAAGCGGCCACCTTTGCCGGTTCCAGTCAGACGCCCCCAGCAGGTGTGTTATACCCTCGTTTGTTTCATCTGCACGTGCTAAACATTCCAGGCCTGCCGTGAGGGGACAAGGACAGTTACAGTGCCCTGGATTACTGGACAAGGCTTTATGTACAAAGTGACGGATGGTGGGTTTTAGGCCACGTGACATGTTTTTGAA